TTTCTTTGGCAGTTTAATTTTTCCAAAAAATTTTTATAAAAAAAAAAAAAAAAAATATATATATATTTATTTATATATATATATATATATATATATATATATATATATATATATATATATATATATATATATATATATATATATATATATATATATATATATATATATATATATATATATATATATATATATATTTTTATTATTATTATTATTATTATTTTTTTTTTATTTTTTTTTTTTTTTTTATTTTTTTTTTTTTAATTATATATATAAACTCTTATTTTCAAGTCAAACAATTCACATGGAACATGATCAAGTGTTCAGTTTGAAGGTTCCTCAGTTACTAAGATATGACTATCAAAATAGAGGAGTTTGACTTATGTGAGTGTAATTATTCCCTAAATGTTTACATGAAGCATGATCACGTTTCAAGGTGAAAGACTTCCAGTTACTTATTTAGAAAAATAATTCATCACAGTGAAGTCATTATTTAAAGAAGCTAAGCTTCAATAAATTATGTTGCAGCTTAAGATATTTGATGAGGTGCTGCAACATTTTTCAGGACATGTTTATTGAGTACACATCCCGAGAGATTTTCTGAGTTTAGAAAACCTCTCATAATCTAATGCCTTTGTAAAGATATCAGCCAGCTGATCTTCTGTAGGAATGTACTTTAAGCACACTATATTTTTCTCAACTATATCACGAATAAAATGATGTTTAATATCTATGTGTTTAGTTCGTGAGTGTTGAACAGGATTTTTTGAAATGTCAATAGCACTTGAATTATCACAATATATGGTCAGGGTATCACTGGTCAACCCGTAATCTCCCAACATTTGTTTCATCCAAATTAGTTGACCACAACACCCTCCAGCAGCTACATATTCTGATTCAGCTGTTGATAGAGATACACAATTTTGCTTTCTACTAAACCAAGAAACCAGATTATTCCCCAAAAAGAAACATGCACCTGAAGTGCTTTTTCTGTCACTAATATCCCCAGCCCAATCAGAATCACTAAAACCTATCAAGTTTGTGTTTGTGTCTTTGAAAAAGTGAATCCCTAAATCTACTGTACCTGCAACATACCTAATAATCCTCTTCACAGCTTTAAGATGAGTGACTTTGGGATTAGCTTGATACCTGGCACACACACAAACACTAAACATAATGTCAGGCCTGCTTGCTGTTAGATACAGAAGGCTTCCAATCATGCTTCTGTATAGAGTGCTGTCAACATC